TTGTGTATGTGCTATTCATGGTTGTACGTGGGCTGGGATGCTGCCAGGGCGCCCACACCTAGACAGGGGGAGGATTATGGTCCTCAACCAAAGCCTTTGGCTCAAAAGCCTAACCGCAAGGTAGCGGTGTTTGGCGGGAAATGCAAATGCATTACCATTTCTACGGAACAAGTCGCCACATGTTCCAACCCCCAACCTGGAGGGCCAGGAGACTGTGTTCGTCAGACCTCTAACCATTGACCAACCTGGTATGAGAGACTCTGTGAGTGTCGCGGGACACTCTCCAGTATAGCTCAATGGATCGCTGAGGTGCGCAAACCGTCACACCACGGTAAGGTCCAGTCTCTTCGTGACGGCGTGCGTACTAGTGCAACACCCATAAATGTGCACCTATCGCGTTACGCCGAAGGGATACTGTCCACTTTTGCAACAAACAGCGATTATAATCAGGGAATTAACAGTATTGTTGACAGTTTGATGCACGCAAGACATACTAGCTGGACCGCATTCTGCTATCCATCCATCGATATTTACGGCAGTTGCCGGAGTAAGACTACTGGATTAGACGTCATAGAGCACCAACATTTAGAGTCTCTCAAGGCTGGTAACAATCTGTAGGTACTGCAGATCATCGTCTGTATTTTCTTTATCTGACACTAATTAGGCAGTTTTGACGGAGATCGTTTCAGTGAACAGCTGTGGTAGGAGTGCGACAAGTCGTCCACGGCGAACACTTACAGCGCATACTACTAGCTGAATGGCAGTAGTTGAGATATAACGTTCGCAGCACAAGCATAGCGGACAGCTAATGTTAAGGGATGGAGGAAATCAGCACACATCTTTGGTCACATAGTGAGATGATGACTATTACACGTCACGCGCTATGATCTTATAGACCCTGGGGGTCCTGAGAGTCAAGAAATCGTGGGGTGTCATGTGCACCTAAACTGAAATCCATCAGATGAAAGCGAGTTGATGGTAGTAATGGCGCAGGTCAGTGATTCGCACTGCAGCGCGTCGTACAGTTAATCAAGCTTGATCCAAGTGTCTGACGATGGGGTACGTCTATCGGTGACTTCGTGTAGCCCGCGATTTCATTTGGCTTATATCGAAAAAAAACTGATTCTCTCGCCAAGGCAACCATAAATTGTGTACCAAGGACTGGGATTGCCTGAGCACGGTGTACACCAATGGTATCACCCACGCACTCATCCGCGTAGTATTGATTGGAGGATCACGAAATCTGTCATGCACTAGTCAAGCTTCAAAATATGTGAACTGACACTCTTGTGCTAGTTTCTCTCTTGCTAATCCAAGACTAACGAACATTCGTTCTGTAGTTTGATTCAATAGAAGACTTCAGAAAGGCTGGTCTGTAGCTTGGAAGAAAAGACCATAAACTGAGTCAGGAAGCACGGATCACTGTACGCAGGACGTGTTGGCAAGCGGTACACTTGCCGAACTATTAAGTTTCATCGAAGAAAAGAACTCAAGCATGAGAACAACGTGCCTGAAGAATATAAAACATGAATATGTTTACCACACTATGACGCACCCACAACAGATAAACTATCACATCTAGGCAGGAATATAAAAAAAAACAATATGGCAAGACAATACGGAAATCTCAAGTAAATGCAAACAAGAAGAGCGACGGACCGGAGGGCCGAAACAGTGTGGAATAATAATAACAAGTCAAAGTATTCTTCTTTTAAGTTACCTAGTTTGAAAGAAAAACAAAACCATAAGTATCACACATTTGGTTGAAAATCTAGCACATCTGGGGCAAAATAAACAGTAGGCTAACGGCCAGAATCACGCATAAAGTGAAATGGGATAAACGAAATAGATTACTACACAGTGGAGCACGACCAACGGATACGTGAGAACAGAACGGGAGAGATGGATGGGATGTGAAATGCAACAATCACAGGAGTGGACGTGAGGTAAAGGAGAGCGAAGAATTCTGGACTCCAACTATACTGTACTGTAACAAAAAAGCCCCCAGTGGGAAGCTATAAACAAGGTCGGCCAAGTAAAAGAAGTGACGTAATAGACAACAGGGAGGCACTTGTATAACAACTGGCGAGCATAGTAGTCATGAGAAATGAATACACTGTAGAAACCAGACTCCTCCCAAAAAAGACCATTTCAGCCACTCCTCAGAGGGATATCTCGTTGAATCGTAGCCGACTGGAAACGTTTAGGTATACTCCCACAACCGGAGTGCCCTCATTCAGGGATTACTGTATTTCACTTTTTGGCAAGTTCTCGGCTGACCAAGTGCACTTCTCGGAAACAGTCAATGAGATCGTAAACAATATTCTCGTAGTCGGGTTGTGTGAGGGCAGCCAAAGTGATCAAGGGACGCCAGGACTCAGGGTTCTTTGATGCGCCATTCACTTTCGGACCAGAAAGCTGTCGGATTTCTGACGGGTCATGGCAACTCCATAGTTCCAGGCCAAATCGACACCCTTCAAGTGGGGAAAATACACGATGAAATTTGAAGAAATAAAGGGGGTGTACACGCGTCAACATAGTAACAGAGACTAAACTGTATTGCTTTGCTGGTAAGTGAAGCAAAATTACTGAACCGGGCGAGCGTGGTACTTTGGTTGTGTCTGGAAGCCAGCCGCTCTTAATAACCGAATGTCAAGTGAATTAGATGGATGTGTCACGTGCAGGCAAGAAGGCATACCTTGACCGGTCAGTGCCAGCCAATATGGACCGAGCATCAATAGCTTGATGCTTCTGGCCCTCTCACGAAAATTCCGGCGCGACTATATGGAACATTCTGTGATCACCCGATAAATATGGTTGTAATAGTCGTCCTTTGTCTCCATAGAGGACTATCTCAAGTCATCATGCACTTTGATAGACCATACTGGGCGTAGCAGGAAACCAAGGACCGTGACCGTTTGCACAACCGTTCAGCAAGTTACACCAAGTTGGATGGAACCAAATGGGGCAGTGAAAATTCTATGACGTCATATGCCTCCACAATGTGGCCTTTAACTGTGCACTCACCTTGACAGAGCAGAACTATTTTGTTGTAAATAGTATGAAAAGTCAAGGAAAATGATTACGTTCTCGCTTCGGCATAGAGATTATCAAGCGGTCGCAGATATGACCAATATTTTCTTTGTCGGCTGACATACACACGTGAAAATTCAGATATGTCACCTGATTTTGCTGCTCTTTACCCGATGGTAATAGTCAAAATCTCAAGGTGAGCGGAACTTTATTCAGTCTGCTATTCATGGATTGGAGTAGTTTGATGGATGTACGACATTATTATTTGCGCCGTTTAGGGAGGAACGAGTATCACAATAGGCGATGACATGTCTCCAAGACACTTGAACTAAAACCACCTTAACTGCCGTCAAGTGTCCTGTTTCTCTGGTCGGTAAAAAACATCAGGGTAATAACCAATGCTACTACAAAATTTTTAAGTAGCCAAAATACCACCAATTTTAGAGCAGTACTTCGACAGCCGGCCAATGGAAAATCCGCTACCGATTGAATTCAAAAGCTAGAGGTTTGTAACATAATTCAAAGTTAAACAAACCATCCCTCTGACCACAAAAATATTCGTTTTAGCTCAAATGATTTTTTTCAGCCATTCCTTGTGCTTCCTACTGTGAGTCACCAATGAGTAACGATTACACGGGCTCTTCGATGAATAATCTTAGGATAGAACGGTGCGTGAAAACCAGTCTGAGGATGCCTCAGAAACCGCCAATAACGTCACTATACCAGTATGCGGCAAACCAAAATTTGTATTGATCCGGTAGTTATTATGCCACAGCACTAAGCGTTCGTCGTCCGTCGGTCGATGGAGACTGATTGCAATGAAGCTCTGTGATGAGAAACAGAGTAGCCGAATTCCAACACACCACAAACACCCGAGGTGACAGCATTTCAGAGCAGTTACTCAGAAAACCTTGATAAAACTGAAAGCATTATCGCCACTTGACATGGCATTCTTCAGTCTTCATCCAAGCACGGAGGGGGTCACGCTGACCACATCCCCGGTGGCAGACCATGCCAACAATACCCAGAATTTTCCGTAACTCATTCAGTTCCTTCCACCTCTTAGCCTATTAGAGTTCCTTGAACCAAAGTTGGCACGGAAACTAGGGCTTTCCACGGTAGACGATAATTTAGCACGCGAACTAAACACAGAAGTTTGAAGTTCCTAGTGAAATTATACAGAGCTTCACCAAACATTTGTTCTCTGATCTATTGACCACCTACAAGTAACGCAAGCGGAGAGAGGACCCGATCCATTAACTGTGAAGAGGCTTGAGCAATGTTTAAATAAATGAGATAGAATGCTACGTTCTACCCCGTCTTAAGCTCAGGCAATTTTTTTCCGCTAGATACAGTACTTGGAGCAACTCATAGAGGGTTCTGTTTGACTCGATACCGAGGAGCGACGGGTGGACATCCAAGTTAAAAGAGCATTGTTCGGAGGCCAGTCATCCCTAATAACCGAACATCATATCACTTGAACGGGTATATCACGTGCAGAACACGGACCAAACGAAGCATGCCCTGACACTTGAACGGATATATCACGTGCAGGACACGGGCCAAACGAAGGCATGCCCTGATTGGTCAGAATGCCAGCCAATTCGGGCCGCACATCCTTGACTGGACGCTTCTCGTGCTTCTAGCACGACCTTGTGGAACACTGTGACTACCCTATAAACACAGTTGTAATAACTTTCCTTTGTTTCCATAAAGGGCTGTGTGGAGCTACCGTGCCATTTGATATACCGTAGTGGGCGGAGCAGGAAGCCAAGGGACCGATAAAGAGTTGCACGATCTTCCACCAAGTCACAACAAGCATCTGTTGTCAAGTTGATCTGAGAGACGCAGCATCGGTTGTCATGCTGCTCGACTTAATTGACTTCGAAGTTCAATCGCCATAGTTACAGTAGCAAACTAGGTTACCACTACATGACCGCCTTTTCAATTTTACTGGTTTGATATAGTGTCGCAGGCACCCAGTTATGGGTCAGCCTTTTGGTGTGTGTTGGCCACAAGATAAAGAACTTTTATTATTATTATTGCCATTAATCGTTCCTAGCTGCCAACGGAAGAAGGCACGAGGGCTGGGATACTGCTAGGAGATGCCAGACCTTCCGGTCCGCAAGCTGGCGCAAAATCACTGAACTGTTTCGAGCTTTTTATTATCACAGAATGGTAACCACAGAGTGACCAAGCTGTTGTCTGGTGGCTGGTGTACTTCACCAGCCGAGCTATGAACACGGTGAGAGTGACAAACGGTGTCAGCCATGGTAATTTATGTACACGTTCAGTCACAAGTGAATGGAACTGAGAGGTGAGAAGGAATGAAAAAACTGACCTTCAGATTCGAAAGGTCGAAGTACACAATCTGACAGTGGAATCCGACGCACGCCGACCAGCTTGTTGAGCTGCAGACAGGACAATACATCCCCTCGGGAAGAATACGACGTCTTAGCGATAGGAAGACAGGCCGAAGTTGAGGAGATTTTGAGCAATGGAGTATGTGCGTGAATATTTCCTGGAAACGGGACTGAGACGTTGGTCGAAATCTGGTCACGAGAGCTAGGTCTGAGACCACACGGGAGGCGAAACTGCGTACCTAAAAGACGACGCAATGTTTCGGGCCGGGAGTGTGATTCTCCACGCAATAAAGAGACCAACTCCCTGCCCAACTGCTGGTTTGAGAATACGTATTTTCTGGACTTCCGGCCTGATTGGATGGGTCTTGCAAGCAGCAAGCAATCGTTGAATAGAAAGACGTGTCGAAGCAAGCCTACGCGGCTACTGCTGTTCGTACGTTTGATAAACTAGAAATGAAGAGAAATAAGGGCTTCAATAGTACAATACCCCATACCACGATGTCTCAGTACCTAAGACAATGTTTGCAGCAATGAAATTTTCTCGACTATAATCTGAGCTGCTGACGTATAACAATTATCACTCGGATAGCCCAGCGGATCGTATCGCGGACTTGTGTTTGGACGATCCGGCTGTCTTGAATTCGACTGACTGTCCCTGAAAATGTTACCAACGTGTTGTTTCATTATCCAAAGAAGTAGAAAATATACAGGAAGATGTTTCGACATCGCCAAGTTCCATCGATCCATAGGAATAAGTAGGCTAAGAGTTTAATCCAGAAAACGCAAATTGCAATGCTCATTAATCAGGTCTTGAAGAAACTCGTCAGTAAAAATGAAACAGGTTCCAATCGGATCCACACTGTGGCGGAAATCGGCAATATCGACGTACTCAATGCGCTTGAGTACGTATCTACGGCAATCCACACGGAATCGTGGGTACGCTTAAACTGACAAGAACAAGCAAGACAGAAGTGAAACAAAATACAGAAACGAGGCAACCCTCCATTCGCTAGACACTTTAGAACGGGGCAAACAAAAGTGAACCAAAATGAACTGAATATGATTCTACCGGCCGTACAACAAAGTGCGCGAACGCTAATCCCAAACATGGGAAGATGACAGTTAACTCTACTGGTCCATTCTTTTATCGAACCAGTGGTAAATATCAGTTGGACACAGCAGTCTTCACAGCATGACGCATTTGCCTATGCTACCCGCTACATTCAACCTCGTGGATTCTACACCCTGCTGATTGTAGGCTAACAGAATCACGAGTCTGAAGTGAACCACCTACAGACGCCAAGTTAAACAAGTAAGCATTGCGAATAACGCCCGGTGAAGATATTTAGTTAGAAACCTTGTATCAAGATTCCTGTCACCGGACCTGTGTTATTCAAGATAAGGGAACTGGGACGGAGACAGTCACGAAACTAGGACAACTGCTTGCGTTTATTCAGTGTGGAAATGCGGGTTGGACATGAACAGTAGCTCTAGAAAAGAAATGCCAACAGACTGGGTATACAGCTCTTTAACCAGCTTGAACAAATCCCGGCACAAATAAGCTTTTCAATTTTGAAGCTAGAGCGCATAGAGACATTCCAACCCATTCGAAAAGTTAAACCGAAATGTTTTGTGCCATGCACATGCGTCGTACGAATGCGACATATATACATTCTGAGTGAAAGGACTGATGAAGGCCATCAGTCAAACACAAGTTCGCAGAGTGCACACTAGCCATGCATCATGGTGTAAGTCAAGTCGTGTGTCAAAAATTGCGCACTCGGCAGTAGAACAGTGTTCCAAGGTTGAAACCCAATACACACCAGATTACCAGATGGAACGACGAACCTCGCACCCCGTAGAGGGAGTAGAAAACAACGTCCTTCACACACAGAGGATAAAACCATTCCCTACGATATTTGTTTGACTCGTCCGAGTACCTGGTGCATCATTTTGGCTTTATACGACATTTCATGGAGCACCTTGCACTTCACGCACATCGTCACAGAAAAATACTGAAAAGCGAAAAAAACATCGGATACAGAACCTAAGCCAACTGTCGTCTTGGGCAATAACTAGTTTCACTCCTAAACTGGTGAATGTGTACAACGATCAGACCTGGTGTGTCACACATAATGTCCAGCGCACTAGGAATCCTCGAAGCACAGGGTGCTGCCGGACAATATGCAAACCGATCATGTGATCGGTTGATAAATGTCAAATTCTACAAGGGTACGACAGTATATCAAAGATGTAGTGTGAGTTTATGGTGAAAACGGGCTTGTCTTAAGATAGTATCGTTTTCAAACACAGGTAAGTTCCACAGACACCACGACAAACGATATTTATTCTTTGAACTTTCTATGATCGACCAATGGGTACTTCTAGAAGTTAACACACGTGATAGATACCGTTGGTCCACCGACAGACAACCACAGCCATGCCGATCCGTTTTTGCGAAGGACCCACTTGTGAAACATTAAATAGGGGAGGAATAGATGTGTTTACACTGTGGCCTTTGAAATTGATTAACACTTCATGAGAAAATCAGATAAAAAGGGAGAGCAATCGGTTAGGCGCTTTTAGTTGTTCTCTGAAAAAGGAGACAGCGTGTACAGCAGACCGACGAGAGTGTTGCCTGTAACATTCCAGCATCGAGAATACACCAAGTGACAAAGATGGCGAAAGCCAAAGATCACCTTAGATAACTTATGGATGAGAAACTTCCCTTGATCATTTCCATTCCATAAGACATCCTGTTCGCGAGGACTTTCAAAGAGCGAGAAACACCCGAGCATGTAAAAACCGGGCATGTTTTTGCAACAGAGATATACTAGATAGTCACAAATCCAGCAACCATCCCGCTTGCCTTGCATGCCTTTATGAAAGAAAAACTGGAAGCGTGAATCTGGAAAACCTATTGTAGCAGGAGTGATGCCCACTGTTGATGCAATCACTCCAAAAGATAATTTTGAAAGTAGGCATTATGGTTTATCTGTCTCTGATCTTCATTTATAAGCGCAAAAATGAAGTAGGCCGACAATTGCATAAGCCGCCGGTAATGATGCCAAACATGCCCCCTGATGAGTGAATGATTTGCGAATCGTACAAACCAGACGGTGCAGCATTTAGAGAATTACCGAAAAGAAACCTGTCAAAAAGTGAGTAGAAAACACACAAGCCTCTTAGACAGTATTCGTAACCACACACTTGCCAGTTGCATTCTACTGAATGAATCGTTTTTTACCCAAATAAACGAAATTGAGACAATTGTTGCAGTTCTGAGACTTGTAACAAGGCATTCAAATGTTTGTACATGGAGAAACTGTGTTGGAGTTCATGGTGTGAGTGGGAATAGCCCAACTTTGACTTAAACAGCCCCTCCCGGGTTAGGGTTTGTAGAGCAATAGCCCGTATGAACGAGCAGTGGTTCTATCTGATTACTTCCGTGAATAGCTAAACAGGGCTCTAGACAGTCTGACTTATTTACGACGATCTAATAGAGGCGGTCACAAGATAAAGTCACGAAACCTTGCGGTCAGTGTTTGAGTGAAGCGTTCAGCTGTAGCACGTTTTCGGTACCTAGCAAGAGGGATGGGATACTGCCAAGTCGCCCAAGCCTACACAGGCGAAGTCGAGATGCAGAGGTCGGATTAAAATACGGACCTTCTGGTCAGTTGCGCTCTAACAGTATTCGTAACCACACACTTGCCAGTTGCATTCTACTGAATGAATCGTTTTTTGCCCAAATAAACGAAATTGAGACAATTGTTGCAGTTCTGAGACTTGTAACAAGGCATTCAAATGTTTGTACATGGAGAAACTGTGTTGGAGTTCATGGTGTGAGTGGGAATAGCCCAACTTTGACTTAAACAGCCCCTCCCGGGTTAGGGTTTGTAGAGCAATAGCCCGTATGAACGAGCAGTGGTTCTATCTGATTACTTCCGTGAATAGCTAAACAGGGCTCTAGACAGTCTGACTTATTTACGACGATCTAATAGAGGCGGTCACAAGATAAAGTCACGAAACCTTGCGGTCAGTGTTTGAGTGAAGCGTTCAGCTGTAGCACGTTTTCGGTACCTAGCAAGAGGGATGGGATACTGCCAAGTCGCCCAAGCCTAGACAGGCGAAGTCGAGATGCAGAGGTCGGATTAAAATACGGACCTTCTGGTCAGTAAATTTGCGCTCTAACCATTGAGACATTTAAGCACTGCTAATACTTAGTGAGGTGAAAAACCCTTCCTCTACCCTTTGGCAAAAAACACTGATGGACCGTACATCATTTAGGGCAAATGGGTGTCTCGGTCACTTAAGAAACAATACCGTACGGAAAATAAGCAAACAGATCAATAAGTGTGGGCTCCCACGTGCTCAAAGAGACTAACCAGTGAGCTTGGTAAAATATTTAGTTTGCTGACAAAGAGCAATCCAAGCCCAAGGTTCAAAACGAATGTACGCTGTCAACAGAAGCGAAGTCAGATGGCTATCGATGCATGAAGCTTACAAACCGACTGACATCAGACATCCTCAAAATCATTTTTGTTAATATTGGGAATAACCATGGACCGCAAAAGTTTTAAGCAGGGACGCTTGAAATAGCGGTAAATTTCCACCACTATACAATCATCCACATACAGCACGAGAAGTTGGCTCAAAACGCAGCTAAGATTTGGATTCACATTACTCGGAAAACGTGCGCATTATATGAGGTGTTTGGTTGACGTTCCACTACTAAGCAATAACCCTGAAATGTCTGGTTCGATCATGAGTACTCTCTCATTCAACGCGGTGATTCCCACCACAGAGTACTTAGAATGGAAAAAGATCCCACCGTCTGAAGACAGCTGAAAGTGATACGTTGCCCAGTCGGTACAAAGAAACTGTTAAATCCAATTTCGACTATCTGATGCGTTCGAACGTTAACAGGAGAGCCGGGCGAATCGAAATACAATTAGTGTGCGTGTGATGTCAGAAGTTATATAGCCTCTCTCATAATGTTACGGACCATAAAGTATAACTGCCAGAGGGTTTACGTGTCGTCAAGGTAACACACAAGTATTCAGAACCTGCAAGGAATAGTGAACGGTCTCTACACTACAGCTCATGGACCGGGTCCGGTCTTCTAACTGTGGTTGAGTATGAAATCAATGCCTGAATGACAAGTGGTCGTGACAACGTCACTTCAGCTTTGTTTGTGTTATCGCACAGTGGACCCATAGTTCATCACAAGACCACAGATAGTCCAATGCAGCGTTTAACCAGCTTTGTCTGGGCGAAGGCATTCAAAACTGGTAATCTTCGAGGCTGCAGAGGAACGGAGGTTCCTCAAAAAGTTTCGGGTAGACTGACGAGCAGTGTAGAATGTCCTGCCGGGTGAGTTAGCAACGCTTGGTTGTTTTGGCCAATATTCCAGTCAGTCGGTGATATTGAAAGAAAAAGACAGACCGACTTCAGGTGCCACAGGGCCAAACAGAAGATGGATTAATCACAAGCCAGCACTTTTCGACATCCAACGGAACAAGCATAGAGCAATAAACGATGCTATTTGCAGTCTAATAAAAAATACTACGGCTTTACTTCCATAAGCCGAGATTTTCCTGAAGTGAAGCGAGTCCTTTCGACCGATTTCTGGGAACACAACAAAGTTAACACCGTGCTCTATTGCATGGGGGCAATCCGTAAAAAACGCTTCATTTGTCAATGAAGGATTTCAAGTTGGTGTAGTAACACAGTAATTGGGTTTTCTTCGTCAGAATCAAAAAAGCGTTCCTGGAAATCCAATATCATTATTTCTCGACCGAATAAATGTGTGGAAAGGTAGTGATAGTCGCTGAACCAATCAACCTGCAAAACCAAGAATTCATGGTGTCTAAGAAAATTCAGTCTATGTGGAAGAATTCTGAATATGGGTCACGAAAGTAGAACGCTATACTTTCCAAATGCACTGATAAGCCTCGTCAATCTTGTGCCAGAATTGTGCTGATAACAAAATATCTCTCAAACAGTAATGTTTTCCTGGGTAACATTTTGCAGTTCAAGAAAATGGAACAAAAAAATTTGCAAGGTAAAGTTGTCTAAAGCTATTTTATTGTGAGAGGTCAATACAAACGGCTTCTACATCCCTATGAAGCGATGGAAAGTGACAGTGGCGAGAAATTAGACAAAGGTTCCCGTCCGTATGACGAGATCCGAAACACTCGGTAGTAGAACCAAGGATTCTATGTTTCAGTTCTCCAGCGCCAAACATGACGCTCCAATCACTAGCGACCTTTTAGGTAGTTTTAACACTGGCTAGTAGAAGTTTCAGTTCTCTGAGGGTCTTTGATTTGATAGTTGACCTATGTAAACGGCTGAGAATAGTCCATTTGCTAGTGAGTTAAAAACCAGTTGTCCCTTTCTAGCATACCAGAGAGGACTGTGGAACCCCACATACACACAAATCATTAGTTCCCGAAAAACCTCTGAATGGCAATAACCTCTCCGTTAGCAAATGGGCGCGTCACGAGCACTTTAGGATGATTACCCCATCAACAGACTTTCAGCAGTAATTTGAAATCTCCCCTGGGTTGTGATGCGTCACTTTAGTTTCTTATTTTGGACTCGGAGCGCTAAGGAAAAAGTTTCATTCCATAATCTTTGCGAACACTGTGAATTAAGAGCAGCAGAACAGATAAACTTCCCATTCGAGTCAAGAAGGGTCATAGTAGAGAGCAATTTTTCGAAACTGGCTATGAAAACCAGAATTGAATGTGCTCAGACGGGTAGATGTTATATAAGTTAGTAGTTACAGCGGTCCGGGGGACCAATGCACACTGTTCAGCGTGTATGAAGAATGTTCAGAGAAGTAGGCGAAGTGTGTGTGTGGGGGGGGAGGGGTGGACACAATATATGCAGCTGGTTAGGTTCACATGCCATGCAAAATACAGCAATACTTTTCGTCACACAGAGCCTCTGGTTATGGGGTTACCCTTCCGTGGTAAACTGCTTAGCGTGCGCAACAGTTCGCGTTTGGGTGACCTATAGCCTAGACGAAGAAAACCACGGGAGGAACGATTAACAGCGGAAAGGCAAACATTATAACCCATATTTTGAGTAAATACACTCAGGACCTCAAAATTATCGAGCATTTTAGGTGAAGTTGATTGCTTTTTAAAGCACCAATACAACCCAGTGATGTATTCTTTTTGAATCTACACGAGGTGGGAACCAGTCGCTTAGTTTCCTGCACTTCGGTCTTTTTGGATGGACATCCCGAGACGGGGCACATCAACGGTTAGAGACGGCCAGATACGGCCCAGTCGCACCCTCGTAGGAGTTCGTGCATCCAAGCTATTGTCTTCAATGCATAGCTCCCTTCACAATTCCCCCACTTAACAACCCTGTATTTATAACCAATTTATTCAGCTCCCGCCTCCAACGCGCAGCTACCTGCCCCACCTCCCCAAACCATCGGTGAACAAAACTGTGACAGCTACAACCACTGTACGACAGGTGCGCGGTTCTTACAGCTGGTAATAATAATAATAATAATAATAATAATAATAATAATAATAATAATAATAATAATAATAATAATAATAATAATAATAATAATAATAATAATAATAATAATAATAATAATAATAATAATAATAATAATAATAATAATAATAATAAGTCAAATTGATGACATCATTCACTTAATACTGCAAGTGGGTTTCGAGTAGTTTAATCTGAAGAGAACTAATTATCATCGTGGACATGGAAAGTGAGTTTCAAAATGCCGATTTTTGATTGAATGAAGAATTAGAATACAAACCTGAACCATAATGCAGTAGAACACAAGGCGACGGTAGGGTTGAACCAAGTCCGTTAACATATCCAGTCCAAAAGAATGCCATTTCCGGTCAAGCCTCGTAGGTCGAGTTGTGGAGGGAAGAACTAACGATCTGGCAATCTGGCCCACCAGCTCAGTGTGATCAAATCCCTGAACGAGCGGATTCATTTTGATTCGGTTACAAATTGATGAAAGCTTTGCAGGGGAAAATTCAGCACGTCGGAGTTCCAACTGTTCTCCATTATCAAGAGGAGCGTCTGCTTCTGACTCTGGGAAGAGAAAGCCTGTAAGCAGGGGGAACAAAGAAAGATAACGTAACCATGTACGGTTCTATCCTCAGATGAGTGGTGATATACATTCGTCGTAAAGGGGTAACTGGTTCACATGACGATGAAGATATATGTACATATAAGCAGCATTGTGACGCAGTCGGCTAGGACTTGGCTACTGGCTGCATTTTTCAGCCAGCTGCTGCGGCGAAAAGTAAGTGGAAGAAGGCTAACCGATTTTTGGCTGCTCAATGACTGAGTTCGTATTCTGTGAACAGCGATTCCATAAGTTGAGTCTGAGATGAGATTCGTGAAAGGAACAGCAGTAGTAATTTCCAAAAGTGAAATATATGCTTCAGTGGAATTCGATTAACATCACAGAGGAAGCAGTCAGTAACTCACCTAGACAGTTTTTTGTGAACATGCTCACAGTCTGTTTGCCCAAGCTGGTGCGCGCAGCGCTTTCATTGTGCAAGCTAGTTTGTAGCAACAGGACCGAGTAGAACAATAACAAAATCTGATTCACTGTTACAGGAGCACACAAAGCACCCTCTGGAGGCCAGCGTGACTCGTGATAGCGCTCAGCAAGACACTCGAGGTACCGCCCGATCTCTTGCGATTCCACCTGCGTGGTAACAACAGTGGTAAAGATTACCCGTGAGCATTTGCGCGGCGTTCATTACTTTACCTAATGACGAGAAATTCAATCCAATCTCAAGGGCAAATCAAACCATATAGCTGCGATCACTTTTTATATTCAAACCAAACTAGCTGGTATATAAACAACTGATAACTTCACCATGCCCCGTCAACCTGGTTGATCGAAGACTGCCCTCCTTCCTCTACTCGATTAACGAGCATAATTTGTGTTGGGTGGAAACGGATTTAAAAAATTTGAGGCTGAGGTTCTATTGGTGCAGTCAGACTTTGAAAATGGGGGACCATGTTCCTCGTTGTAGTTGGCAGATGCTACAAGATAAGGTATCAGTAATCTTTACGCTGTCAAGCAGGTACAAGTACAGCACACGTGCAACCATTTCAAATGATTGTAAAAGGGTGATACTAGATCCCTTTGTTTATATCATTTTATTCACTTCTTAAAAGGCTTCGTTCAAATAAGGCGACAAGATTGTGTGGTAGTCAGACAACAAAAATGGAACACTAATGTTGCTGTGTGTGTGACGACGACGACGACTTGATTTGGTGACCCATCTTCTAACAAATCATTTGAGTGAAGGGGACAAAGTTATCAAGTCGGCGGAAATTCGCACCGAGATCCTATATTGTCCTGATACTGCCTTTGTCAGATATGGGACTCAACAAGGCAGTCTCAGTAACAGCACAGGAAGCAAAACGGTTACACAAATAAAAAAAAATCTTAATTCAAGTGCGGCTTTAGCAAAATACCAGCCAAAATGCTGCTTACGACCAAATAATAGTGCGAACCCAAAACAACGCTTAAGTCAGAAGGAAAACGAGGTGAACCTCGGAAACAATTTGCCGCAATGTCAACATAGTTCTATCTGGCAACGGAACCAAAACAAATTCGAAAACCTCAAGGGATGTTGTGGGAATATGAAATTTCAGTGCTGGATATGGGCATTTCTGTTTGACAGCAATTACGACGAATAATGGGAAGACCGGTTATTATCATGGGAATAACAGAGCGAAAGAGGGAGTGGCCAACCACGGAAAAGAGCATACGATGTTGGCACCACAGCGATAATGGAGGCAATGACAATGATGGGGTTGGCGATTTCCGCGGCTTCGGGAATTAGTCGGTTTCGCGTAGACCGTAGATCACACCCCGAAAGCTCAACATTCTCTAAAGCTACTCCATGTCTTGTGTCTAGGCGACGTCATGACTTGGCCTGATGGAACTTTCGTACCAAAGCGAAACATCGTACACTATCAACTGCTCTACCAAACGATGGTCATTCAATGGGATCCAATTTTGTTCAATTCACTAGAAAATACAATCAGACCCGGTGCAATGCGGTCTACTTTTCGCTATCCACACGATGAAAACAAGTGTCCGGTTGAAAACAACCCCAACTGGTTGAAGATAGTGGTTCATTACTGCCAAATTCAGGATAGGGGGTGAAAGACAAGTTTCTTCACAAGCATGAAGGTACAGTATGATACCTACGATGACATCCATGACATGGGCAGCGCACGTCAGCCTGTTACCATATGCTTTTTTGTATTCAGCGTCCTCTTTGAAGACAGAACAAGTCAAACAATCCAGACGGTTTGTAGATACATTGCAATTAGCTTTCTTTCGAACAATAAAAACCGAGGGCGGGACAAGACCGGACACTGACTGCTTAAAAAAATTTGCATCAATGCCACTGAGGCTACAAGATGAGAACAAAAACAAAACCTAAAAAGCTGTCGACCGGATAGATCAATCCCGCCCAGCGGTTGTCAAGATACAAAATAGACAATGTATGAGGGAAAAAACTGGGTCGCTGCTACTGTTCGTGTGTATCGAAAGAATACTGTTGGTCGTGGTACGACACAAGTGAACGATGATAATCAATCGTGAGCTGCACTGTGACAGAAACAGGCTGGAAATTTGAAGGGAAGATGAGCAACAAATTCATCCGTCAATGAATAGGGGGAGGTGGTTTTACAAAAACATCAACAATGGCTACGACGCAACCAAGTGACTAAAAGTGGGTCATTAAGTGATCAAAAGCATCGGGAGAATATTCGCACCGCCATTAAGGGAGGAAGGCTGAATAAATTGGATCGCACGCTGGCAATGAAAAATGTCGAAAAGCACGCACGTTTATGAAATAGCGAATCCACCTTGGAAGTACGAACTGGCTTGCTAGCATTCCCATCGCTGTTTGTGTGTATGTGTGCGTGAGGAGAGAACTTACAGGCATGCCAAACCGATGCACAGCTTCCCGTATGGCTTCATCCACTTCGCTCTCACGGAAGTCGAGGGAATGGAAAAGACATCTGTGGAGAAAAAAGGTAAACAAGTGGGCAAGTGACGTGCAGGAAAACACATGGAGTTACTGTATAATCAAGTCCCAACACACACGGGGAATAACTACGAAACATTCCGCATTGGTAGCTTGACCAGGATGATAAACGTCGGGGCGACTACCGAAGGAACGCCATCAAGTTTCTAACGCTTCTCGTCACAAAGGAGCACACAGTGCACATTTTGATCTAAAATGCATTTGGTCAGTTGGCGTTCTCATATGAGTATGAGTGATTAACATAAAACACATGTTATTAACGGTTTACTAATACCCAAACTGGAGGTAAAATTTTTCCGACCTCCAATCAAAACCAGAAACCCGAATAGAATAAACTTGTCCTTCTATCGGGAATCACAGGAACCAGCTAAGAAGAGTGCTTGGTTTTGGCTGTTTGACAAATTGGTTTCCCTGGATTCAACCAGTGGAGGTGAGTTAGAGACGAAATATCTGGTGTCAGATACAGCAATGGCGCAAAATGAGTTCACACTGCTTGAGTGTTGTTTGACTGGACAGAGCCTCTCAATGCAGACCACAATAGCCACTTGGAAAGCAGGGGTACGAGGGCCCAATCGAATGAGTAGCCCTAACCTTTGAAGCTTTATATATATATATATATCTATGAGGTTGCGCTTAAAAGAAACTGAAGCTGTAAACAGAATTCTAAATATCCATCAACTGATTGTATAACCCCCAGCAGCACCAAGAATGGGTTCCTCAGTACCCGCTAGTTAGATAACAATTATGTACTTTGTGCTCAACCTATTGATACAGCTTTGCACAAATAGTTATAAATGGTGGAAATGAAAACGGTGCTAAAACTAGTATAGACAGTAACGGTTTCATTCTCATGAGGCGACGATGATCAGTACATTAAGTGATCAGGAGCTGCAGTATCGTCCGCATGCATTAGGATCCACGTCAACAGTAGACTGAATGCTGCTTTTCGTTTATCCATGGAACGATGAAAAGGCGAGTCGTTTTGTCATGACGAAGATGATTCAGGACAAGATCCGGTTTGGTAAATTCAGGTCCATATAACCTGGATTATATGATTTACCATAAACTGTGGAAAACGTATTTACCGCATGGCTAACCGAGCAGGAAATTAAAAGGATCTAGAGAGAACCGTCCATTTCAGGAGAGAAAATTCGGAGCAACCAAGAAGCAGTGAGTCGATTGTCGACTGCTCACAATCATGAACTCGAATGCCAAACGCGTGCAACCAGAACGTTTGAGATGAACGCAAAAGAGAATCAATCGTGAAGGCCTACATCGCACGGTGATTCGAATAAACAAGGAACTGAACTAACAAGCCCAAAGTAGGTGACCGTTAGACATAAATCTGAATGGCTTTTAACTGAAGCAGAACGTGCGTGTACGGCTCTATCACATACAGACTATTCGATAGGATCGGCCCTCACGCAAGGAGACCGGTGAAGTATCGAGTCTCAAGCAGCGTCTATATAAGGTTGATCCAGCGTTGACAAGCTAAAACACAAGCGAACATGTAGCGAAAAGATGAAAACCATCCTGATACCCTCCATCCAAAGAAGGGAAAAGCAAACGCTTACTTCATCACAGCAGAAGGTGATACAACTCCAGATTGTGTCCCACCAAGAAAAGCCCCTAGCTGAGACCGACAGAGACCCGGGGTGGAGAGTATAAAATGAGCAATCGAATCTGGGCGGCTAGTTCGTAGAAAGCCATGCCTCTCCAGAAACGTCAGGCTACGAGTGGGATCACTAAAATGGATGAAGTGAAAAGATATACATAAAAACAACGAACGACGGGATAAACATGAATGCAAACCGCGTGAATCACGTGTTTCTGTTGTCAACAATGTCAATCGGAAACAAAAAGGAAAACGACCGATCCTGCTAAGCAGAGTTGATAGGGACAAATGGAAAGAAAAGTCCCAAGTATAAGCTTTTCTGAAACGGAGTACAACTCACTCATAAGCGTTCTCTTGGCTGTCACTTGTGACTACACTAACGTAGACAAATCGTTCAGCCGTGATGTCTCTGCGGTGCATCTTTGTCTTGTTACCCGAAGGAAGCGCGAGGGTTGAGACATTGCCAGTTTGCTCAAGCACAGACAGAAGCAGTAGAGATGTTGAGATGGGGTTTAAACCACGGATCTCTCGGTTCCGTCTTAACTACTGAAACACCTTGACCCATTTCGACCACCATCGACCTCAAAAACGCTCATGTTGAAGGAGGATAAATAGGCTTTGCGGATTAAAACATTCATTTCGTCAGCAGTGCCACTATCCGATGCGATGCAACTATCAGGGTAGACAAATTTGTCCACCATCTCAGGTGGTTCTAATATTATAACAAGATTTGGTGGTTCACCCGCCTAAAAATTCGCACTCGGAAGTTGCAACGTGTATATCAAAACGCACTGCGACTTTATTTTGATTGTTTATTGTAATTTGTATGTAGATGGAGTCTGCTATTTGATCTTCGACGTCCTTCGCTGACGGAAGCACGCAGCAGGACTTAGGATAGACTTTCGAACCAATAAGTAGTGATCAGCGCACAGTCGTTGGGAGCATTTAAACCAATTCTGCTGCCTAATCTGTCCTCACACTTGTCAATTCTCACCAACTTGGTGCTCGATTCGTCAGCCAGAGTGGTGATAACCGTGGGTAGATGGCTAGGAATGGACGCTGAATCTAGGGAGAAGACAGCGTCGTATTGGCCAGAGTAGTAATTCGAGTTGAAGCTAATAAATTAGAGACCTGTCGTCAGAGGGTGACTGCAGGATGGAATTCGTGTTTAGGAACGTTGAAACACAACCTTGATTAGGTAGTCAACGGCATCCTTGCTTAGAAGCCATCACATGCAATACATAACTTACCCACGCCACCTCAAGTTCTCGCTTTCCGCTGAGCTGATCTTCAGTGCACGACGATGTTCACTTTCTATTCCACCATCGACCGGTCGACGAATGTGGAGGTACTGCACATCAGTGAATAAGCAATATTTGATACTCGGGAGGCATAGATAACTAAGAACTTAAAGAATATGAGCATCCCTTTCAGGGAGGTGAACAATCGGTGGATTTATTGCTGGGCAAGGTTTCCAATTAATTGAAAACATGAGCATCCCCTCATTGCATTGGCAATATTGCTGGACCGAGCGATAGCTCGCAGTGTTCTGCAATATGCTACAGGAGCAGCAAACAGTACACAACAATAGAAAAAATTCACGAGCCACAAGCAAAGTAGAAGCCCAACTGTTGAATTCTTTCAGACAAAAAAATGCATGGGACGGAACTCCTCATCCAATTATTTTGCAGAGAAAACCAGCAGTATTCGAACATCTAGCCAACCGATATGGTCCGAGAATCATGAACCACTAACAACAGCATGCCAAAGTAACTGCGAAAGGCATCTGCTAGCCTACTGAACTACCCCACTAACTTACCGATTGAAACAATTGACGCCCACGCTTCGAGTGATGGCAAAGCAGGTCTCACAATTGAACTTCCCCATGTATGATGTATCCACGTAATCCAGTCGGGGTAGTGCATCCAAACAGAGGAAATATTGTTTGGCTGCAGCGCAGGCTGGACAAGTGATAGCTGGCTTGGGGAGAGCTGATGGGGCGACCAAGGGACAAGAGTCTTGCCCAATCACATCCGACTGTGTTGGTGTTTCATTTACACCAGAACACGGCTGGGATGAACGGGCAGAGATTCGCTGTTTTCGCTTCCAAATAGGTGAGGTAGGTTCATTTAATGTACCTGATGGACTCGACAAAGGCCGCATCAACATCGACTTGTCCGTAAACGGCTGAAGGCAGCAGAAATAACGAAAGAGAAAAAATAGAACATTGACAAGTTGGCAAACGGTGAATTAAGCTGATCAGAATAGAACTTATGCACTGCACTTTGTAATCACTGAAGTGCAAACTCCAATTTTACTGATAGAAAGGAATGGAACATGAGGACAGCGCGGATGTTTGTGTGATTGCGTATGCTTGAACGCGTAACCGACCAAATGGTTCCGGGTTACGCACATAAGTCACTATAACTACCGGGATGCTTTCAATGAAACGTACGGATTTGATCGAGGGATTGTGGCAGGTTAGTCAGCACCTTTTAAATCCTCAGCATCTTTTAAACATATCGAACTCGAGGTGGGTGAGAGGTTGAGGTGCGAACTAACTGACCGGAAAGTCCGTGGTTTGAACCAAACTCCGGCGTTTCGATTGTCCCTGTCTAGGCTTGGGCAACCTGACAGTTTCCCAGCCTTCTCATTTCGGGCAGCGTTAAGCTGATCAGAATAGAACTTATGCACTGCACTTTGTAATCACTGAAGTGCAAACTCCAATTTTACTGATAGAAAGGAATGGAACATGAGGACAGCGCGGATGTTTGTGTGATTGCGTATGCTTGAACGCGTAACCGACCAAATGGTTCCGGGTTACGCACATAAGTCACTATAACTACCGGGATGCTTTCAATGAAACGTACGGATTTGATCGAGGGATTGTGGCAGGTTAGTCAGCACCTTTTAAATCCTCAGCATCTTTTAAACATATCGAACTCGAGGTGGGTGAGAGGTTGAGGTGCGAACTAACTGACCGGAAAGTCCGTGGTTTGAACCAAACTCCGGCGTTTCGATTGTCCCTGTCTAGGCTTGGGCAACCTGACAGTTTCCCAGCCTTCTCATTTCCCCCGGGCAGCGTGACAGCCTTGGTACCAGTGTTACAGCTGAACGACTATATATGTGATACACATATTATTACATAATAAACAATACAGTTAGATGCAGTACTGGTTCAAATGAAGTGAAATTACCAGAACTACAAACTTACTGTTACCGTTCGACAGGGGTTCCGACAATAGCGTGGTAGGCGAATTGTAACATCCTTCAATCGACCGGTGGGCTCCAATCCAAATCCCCTCGGAACAGAAGGATGACGAGCTAAAACAGTCAAGTAAATTACAAATCAATGAGATGGAGTCGTTTGCAAACGCTGTATTCACCTTCTGGTTGTAGGACAACCAAGGGATGATCAATTGAAATAGAACACGTTACAATCACAGGTTGGAAATAGTTTTTAAACTGGAGAATTAGTGTGGCGTATAGTGGTAGAATGGCTTCAGATATCGTCAACTGTTTATTCAAGGACAGGATAGCAGGTTAAATACTACTGTGGTCATCGTTCTTTCCCGACAATCTCCACACAATTCGCGTTGGAATGTGAAAAGTCATAGGTAATCAATTTCAAATCAGTACGTAGAGAATTGCGAATCACGACACGTGCTTCTTGGGTGTGAAATGGCATTAGGACTACATCGTCCATTTGGCCGACAACCGACCAGCAATCGAAATAGACATATAGGATATTTATAGGGTCTACCACTGATACTCTAAGGTTCCAAATACCGAGGTCAGAATCGAGATTCGCATCCACTGATGACGACGATGCGAGCAACTAGTTGCACATACAAGGAAGTCAGAATGAACACCAGATGGATTTGCAAAGGTGAAAACGTTGGTAAGCAATATCCTGGGTTATCTACTTGGGCACAATTTGATGAAATCCGTGAGTCACAATAAAATCTTTCTCGTAGAGCGAAATGGAAGTTGCCGACAAACACACAGGCAGATAAGGAGTATCACGAATCAGGAAAAGCCTACCGGCTTAAAGCTGAGAGACGTGATAGGCCCAGTAAGTTCTCCGATGCCTTCCACGTTTAAAGTACACGAGAGGCTTTAGCAACTAGAATGATAATCGAGTACAGAGGTCGGAACGAACAGGTTATATCGAGAGTGAAGGGAGATATTGTGGTGATAAAAGGTTAGACAAGGACGATCCAAGCAGCTCAATTTGTTGTCGACGCAACATGAAGAAAACGGAATGCATGGTGGTCAAATCACCGTGAAATACTCACCGGTCATATGGTTACAAAGAACCGCCCTTGGCGGGAGAGGGGACCCAAAACCAAGGGGCCGATTCCTCCAATTCTGATTTTTCACCAGGGGACCTCTAGAGAAGATACTGTACACAAGTGAACGTTTGAGACGGAATCACCCTATGAAAATAAGGCCTAAACGGATTGTGTGGTTCCTCAACTAGTCCAAATATGACCAACACCGTCTGACGGATATTAGAAACCGTAATAACCGATCAGATCGATATTTCAAAAATCGAGGTCCCGAGTTTAGTTTCCCTGAGTGAAGAGGAAAATGTGCCTGAACAAACCACAACTCCGTTCGGTTCGACAGTGAGTTTCACACAGAAATGAGCCACACTGTTCTTATGAAGATCCAACGAACTAACGATTCAAGGTCGCTAGGATGCTAAGTGTGACGTCAACTCAGTTCCGCCTTGTAAGTGTTTTTTTTATCAAACAAGCCACAAGTTACACGACACCGAGTACGACTCAGGAATATGAAGTAATCATACTTTCTCATTGTCGCGTGCTTAACGTAACAATCACAGCAACGAAGACATCTTCCAGGTGTCTCAGATGATGGCTACGGGCCAACAAATCTAACGCTGATCCGACAAGAATTTCAACAATGCAACAGCAATAAATGTCATCTACACTAAATTCGTCCTGGTTAATGAGTGAAACCATGTTGAAAGGGTCGAAGATGACTGAATGATGAAGGGTGCAACCGTGGGGAGTTCCCAGAAATTTCTAGTCAAATAACTAACTGTATGGCAGAGCGATTTCGGCTGACCTCGTGGGTGTTGTAGTGAAAGGAGAGATCATAGCCGATTCCACACTGTGTGATGCACAAATCAATGGAATGATATTTCAGCACATCAATGAGTTGATCAAGTCCAGATAACTGATTAGATCACTAATCGGGGTATTGCTAGTTTCTTGGGCTATTTCACAAAAAAAAAACGGAAAATGACTCTCAGGAAAGCGTGGGATATAACGAAAGTCATTATATAGGTAAAATAGGTTCTTTAATGTTGAAGATGGAGTAAAGATAATTATCGTGAATGCATGGGGAGATTCTTCAGAATATAATAGAAGGTCCACAAAAGTTCTATTCTTTCAGCGATTACAAATACAGTAGGTTGTACATCTTGGAGTGGGCCAATTTCTTCAATAAGTATGGACTTGCTTTGGCACGCAACACAATGAGTCGTGAGTTCTGCGAACATCAAGTCCAAATTTATCAACCACTGTTACGGAGTGTGTTGAAGACTTGAATGTCGTTGAGTGGGAGCTGAGAAAATTCACGGAAACAAGTGGCGTTTCGCAAACTATACACGATCAGTAGGCGATAGTGCTGAGCCCCCCCCTCGGTAAAAAAAAGCAAACTATTCACCAGTGTTTCACTGTGTAACAGAAATAACAAGTAATTCGATTGGACCGATTCCATCAAAATACCACGCTGCTTTGTTGTTGGGTAACGAAGCTGCCGCTAACAATCATATTGGGAATGTGTGGCGAAACTCTGCAAACGAGACAACACGTACACGAACATCCAACAGTTTAATCCCGTTCCACAAGAATCCGCTCCTCAGCAAACCTACCCGACAAAAACTAGGAGTTATTCGGTTGCTAACCGAAGCCTAGGGACTCGCCACACAGTGAGAGTTTTGTATCCGTTACACTGCAGTGCCGGTGTTTTGGTTGATTTGTGCAGTATTTGATAGAAACGCTGAAAGTATGAATGCTCTACAATATTGACACCATCATATGGAGTTGAAAAGATTGTAGAAAAACACTTACTTTCAGTATTTTCCGCAACTGTCCTTGCAGCTGCTGCATGTGATTTGGGTGCATGCGGAGGCACAGGTGGCGGCAATTTCAAGATACCTTCATTTGGCCTGGAATCCTCAATAGGAATTTCCGGATGATCACGTAACACCGAAGCCTGGTGTGGGGCGCAATAAGCAGAACTACTCGAATGAGAACTGAGTCCTGAATCACGAGCGGAGGTGTCGGATTCGCCAGAACAAGTCGTGGTGCGTACCCTTGGTCTAGGTGAATAGCTTGAGGGAATAAGTAAAGTGTTTTCTCGTAGCCCCCGGATATTGGGTTGGATTGTATTACCCGATGAAGGCGGGACGTCATTCGGAACGAATTTGGAAGCAGCGATATGCTGCGATAAATGTGCAAAACTTCCCACCAACGCTGAACAACCTGGATTTGGACTGTCGTTCAAAAGGTTCCGGAAACTTGAATGGAACGAACTGAGTTTTTGCATCGGTGGAGGCAACAGCTGAGATGACGATTTATCCGAACAGTCGGTGGAAATCCGCGAATCTGATGGCTATGAAAACGGTACACACGAAATGACTGATAAATATTACGACACGAAACGAGACGTCACAGAAATTTAACTTTTGGAATCAATTTCGATTGGCACGAATAAACCCCTTCTAGAATAAAACAGTAAGCCATACTACACAAAGCATAATTACTAACAGCGATTATTTAAATAAATTATAATACAGTTGAGCTTCCGCGACAAGCGATACCCTACGGGATCGACGACTTCACTGCTCGTTGGGAGGGCTTGTATGATGGGATGGATTACACAAGATTCTGCTCAAGCTGCACTTTCGAAAGGATCCTTTGGCAGTGTCGAGTGCACTTACTGGTCATTGATGTAGTGCATGTTGATCTTTTCTCCAGACGTGGTGTTTGCTGGTCGGTCCGATCACTGAATATTGTTCTCAAAATACATAAGAGCTTGCTTTGAAACTTCTAAGAGTTTGTCCTAGAAAATGAGGTTCCAAACATTCCACTCAATATTAGCTAATAAAGATGTGGTTGGTACTGCTTGCGAAGCAAAGTCACTCCGATGCCGATATCAGTCCAGATGAAGGATAGAGTTGGAGAACATAAAAACGACATATTCAGCTAGTCTTGACAGAACCTCCTATGGGAACCGACAGGTGGTTTTCTGAACGTCAGTGGCTGTGCGTTACAAGAGGTAGAAAACAAACATTTTTTTAACAAATGAAGGAATATGCTGGAACTGCACATAGCTGACCCGACGTATAAACAGCAAGGCACAACTAAGAGACCAAACATATGGCCGACCGACGGGATGAGATTGATATATTTATTTGAGAGAAGCGACGAAAGGACCCCCGACGGTCAATTGATGCGGAGATGCACCGGCTCACACAGTCGAGCGGTGCACCAAATACCTGCCTTCTAGAAAGTGAACGTTGTAGAAGCGAAGAGATGAACCACTTCTCAACCAGTTAGGCAAAAGTGACAATGTTATCCAGTTGTTCAACCACCATACCAAAAGCTAAACGCAACACTCCGTCATGTTGTCCATTTAATGAGCAGGTATTTGCTATCTGCGCAACACCAACTGAATCCAAAACCATTGGTGGAATGGCAGTAGCAAGCATGTTTTGTCACTTTTCTTCTCCAGGTTAGTGTACACTGATAACTTTGCTCTACTCCACTTGTGAGGTGCCTATGCTTTGCTCTGTTAGTCATCTGCGGTTTAATTTGGACGTATTTAAACCGGACAGCAACCTCCTATACCCTACCCGATTAGTCTCAATCAGGAGGGAACTAGTAGATAGTGTTTTAGGACCGGCCACTTCCGTGCAGCAATAAAAAATAATTTATTCGGAGGAAGTGATCTTATCGTGTTATGGGATGTTTTTAACCAGGTTAAAGCATTTAATAGAGGAATTTTTCATCCGTTAAAATCGTCTCCGTAGAAGGGGGATTGTAAGACAAAAGGCTGCCAATTGGGAGGGACTGCTGGAATTTGGAATTACAGAGTGGTAATAATAATTACACCTACTGGAAGCTTGTGATGACAAGATGGAGATCGTGCACATCCGCCAGAGGAGATCGAACCAGGCGAAGGAGATTCCGTACTGGGGCTTGAGGGTGTCCTTGAGATACACATGGACCATGACCGAAAAAATGGATCGTTTGCCAAAGTACACGGATCACGGTTGGGTACAGATCGTCCACGAAAACGCCTGTTATCTTCTGATCGACTTCTGTGTTCAACCAGCTTCAGATCACCTAGATTAAAGTATTTGGTGAGTAATCTTGGGTTTACAAAATGAGACGCACAATGGTAGGACTGGCACGAAATACATGCCAAGTTTGAACACGGTGCTCGTTCCAAGACCTCATCACACATAACACTAGTAGGATCTCCCAAACAAGTGATCCAGCAACTATCATGAGTGTCGTCAGATGTCCAGGAAATATTCCATTTGAAGTCAGCAACCGACCGAAGAGACGATTGAGGATCTGGGCAGTGCATTCTGGACTTCTGGACAAAGCATATCGGATTTCTGGCCAACGGTAAAATATACGAAGCAGGAGAGAGCTACAATCTAAGGAAATCAACGAATTAAGAACACATTTAACTAGAGGTAGAATGCAAAAACACTGGTAGCCACTCAGCAGCACTCGATGAACAACCAATTCGATTGATGCTAGTGCTCAGAAATGAGAATCGGCAGATTTAGAAGAAAACAAGAAGGGCCAGGAAAATTTCCTATCGGAGATTGATGATTGTATAGTAAAACGGCTTTTGCACTACTGTGGTTACCCCACTCGGTACCGTGCTTCAAGGACGGCATAAAAAGCTGTTGGATTTTACGATCCCTGGTTATCACGTAAGAGATCTTGCCACAGTTCTGTACTACTTATGTGTTGCTGTGGTGGAACGCGAAGGCTCGATAATAGGTGATGAACATATGTAGATAGTCACCGGTATCTTCAGCATGCAGGAAACGACCTCCGCTTCCAACATAGGAATACTAATCTGACGAATAAATAATACACGCATCGGTTGCGGTTTATTTCTCCGAGGATAAGCGAAATAAAGGAATGACAAAACATTAGAGGCGACAGTCCAAAAAGTTTATTGACGTCAACTTATTCTGTATGGTTTGATTGGGCATGGAGTGAAAGATCTACTCATTGAAGGCTACATGCTTGATTGGGGACCGCCAGTGGGTGTCTGGCGGGAGAGTAGTCACCCAGTTTACCAACTACTGATTTGCTTAGTCTCAGTGTCCTTCTCTGGAAGATAACGGTTTGCAACGCGACTGAGTTGGCTGACAGCAGCCTTCATGCTTCATTAACAAGTGCCGGACCGACTACCCATGAGTCCTTTGTATCCAACACATGGCTATGAGGCGGACGGTCCTCTAGCCTACAAAGTATATGGCCTAACTAGCTAACACATGGAATGTATCAGGAAGTTCGAATTCCAGGAAGCAACCCAGAACGCTCGGAACCTATTGAGACCCTAAAACTCCACCAAAATCCCAATAGGAAAGCCGGCAAGCATCCAGGCCAATCAAGTATTCGATCAATTCAGTAGCAGGTTGGATCGATGAAAGTAAGTGTTGTGAGTGTTGCATTCGCACATACTCATCATCATCATTGTCAGCCGTAACAACCGCGTACTTGTTGTACAGTGGTTGTAGCTGCCGCACGCACTCGCTTGTTAGCAATCAACCTATTGTGCTCTTGCCGGTGAGCATTTTTCCGGTACTAGGTACTGCAGCGGGAACAGCCGTCAGATATAACAGAGTTTCTATCTAACGAAGGTTGTTTTTTTGAAAACATCCTAGCCTACTGGCTCGATGCTGCACACAGCAGGGGGAGTAAGCGGAAACATGCTACTGCTGACGCCTTCCTCCTGACACTCGCGTTTTGCCTCTTCTACCTTACCCCATCCAAATTTGAATACTCTCTCAGCAGGTCCCAGCACTGCGAGTGACTGTTTTGTTTGCCTTTGTCATTTTTTGCGACGAAAAGGCATATCACTGGGTCATAAGGGTCGCGTGTGTCAGGCTAAAGTAAGGGCTATGTTGTTGTGCGGCTGCGATACGTGGCTTCTGCGGACAGATGATGCGAGGCGTCTTCAGGTCTTTGACTACCGACACCTCAGAGGCGTTGCTGGTTCTGGATGGCACCGGCGGATCAGTATCGAGTTGTCTAGAAAACGAGTGTTTGGTTGTGTAGTAGGCACTTCAATCGCGGAAAACATCTAGTACGACCGACTACGATATCTCAGCGATGTTCTACGTATGCAGGAACATCATCTGCTTCCTCTAGAATGGCGTAAACCGCGAAGTAGAGGGCATATGACTTAGAGGAAGGGTTGGAAAGAGATGATAAAGAGTATGTTTGTTGCTGTTGTTGTACGCTCTCCAAGATATGGTTTCCAAGACCCCACCTACGCTGCGCCGGAGACTTTGCAAGAAACAGCGGCCGATCAGTAGTGTTCGTGCTGTCATTCTCAGATTGTCTGATTGAGCGCTTGGAGGTGTAGACATATCAAAATACTTACTATATGTCAGCAACAGGTCCCCTCGATCACTCTCTCTTTTTGTTTTCCTTCCACTCTGGGGCTTCAAATATAATTAGATTAACACTATGTTTGTACGGCAGTGAAGTATTAGTGTCAACAATGATGCTGCCATCTCTTAAGATAACGATAATGATGACCAACGGATGTGGCAAACTAAGGCAGAAGTGCCGTAGACTACAATGTGTACACGGGGGACAGCATGTAGAAACTTCACGAGAGATTAGTTTGGAACGCTCTTCAGTACTAAACGGGAAAGCTTTCTGACAGCTACAGAGATCCAAAGCAGCTGGTCATCGAGAGGAACGATGCAGTCGAAAAGTAAAGAGATGATAGACGTAACAGCGGCCGGGACGAAATACAGCTCAATTCGTAAATGCAGCCAATCTACTGCGCTAGAGCAATGCAATTTCACATATGACCCGGGAAAGACCATGCCAGTTTATTTTCGAAGGCTTTTTAACTCAAGAAAGCACCCTTCCAGTGCCTAGCTGCCATGCCACCCGAGGGAAGCACGAGGGCTGGGATACTGTCAGGTTGCCCAAGCCTAGACAGGGGAAGTCGAGTGGCGGAGGTCGGATTCGAACCACGGACCTTCCGGTCAGTAAATTCGCACTCTAACCACTTGGGCCATCTCGCAGTCATCAGAACTGCACGGATAGGACCACTTACTGGAATCACGCCTAATAAAGAATATGCATCGTTGTGTCTAAGTTCCCATGAAGCAGTAAACCACAACTACCAGACATCCGAAGCGCGAGTCAACGGCTCAGCCCTGGGCGACTCGAGGTGCACGAACAAACTGTCTTGTATGTGTTTCAGCGATGCGGCATATATCGACAGTGAAAAGTATGTCCCGAGCAAGAATTGTCTGTTATCCTATTCAACAGAGCGAAAGGTGAAAAAAACCTTGAATTCATTGTAGGATTATTTCACTAAACAGGAACTGGGATAGTGGCTAAGCCGTGGCACCATTTTGGTGTCGTGCCACTCGAAGGCGACGCAAGAGACGGGGTATAACTACGATGCCATAGCATAGGCAGATGCATTGATAAGGACAAAAATTTGAAACGGACAATTTGACCACTACCACTACCACAAGATGTGACGGTAGGCACAGCTAAAAGCAGCCCACAAATCAACAAAAAAGAACGGGGTCTTCAAAGGGCGGCGCTTTCCGGCACACTGCCGATGTAAAGACGTGGTCGATGCATCCTGTGCGTCCTAGGGATCTGCGTGAATATCACTATTACCACAACCTTTCGATTATCCATTTTTGTGACCTATGAGGAGTTTATGAAAGGCTCCGTAGGATTTTAACAATCAATAGAACCTTAATTTGGTTTAGATGCACTGCAACAGCGTTTTTAAGTGTTTTTTCCAGTCGCTCTCCGCCTTTGCGTAAGGTGTAACGCTTTTTCAAATATAATCCCCGGCGAATCACGCGGTCTCTACATGTATGTGATGGGAGTGTTGTTGACACAAATCAGTGATACCTGAAACGCCATTCAGCGACTATGTATAAATATACAGTCGGAAATGAGGTATTTATCGCGCAGGTCCAATCTGCATGTGACGAATTAACGATAAATTGTTTCCGAGGTTGTGGTAATAGCATCAGCCGGATCTGCGTGCGCAATCATGGTGAATAGTAGCTGGTATGGCTTTTTTGGCAGCAGAAGGATCCGCAGAACTTGATGACATACAGTGTTAGTTTGGTCTAGTCTAATAACTTTGACAAACAGACCTAAAAGCCGAGATCATTGTTCTTTCCGTTCGCTTCCATTAATCACCTAACGAATAATCATAGTGGGGAGATGCAAAATCCTTGTCGGTTGTTGGCTTCCTGCTCTACCCACTATGGTACTTTAAAAGGCACAGTAGCTTAAGATAGCACCTTGTGGAGGCCAAGAAGACTATTACAGCCATATTTATACGGTTATCACAAAACGTTCCACAAGTCGCGCTAGTAATGGGCGAGAAGCGTCGAGCTATGGATGCTGGATCCCGATTGGCTGATATTCTGACCAATCAAGGGGCGGACCTCACGGACTCACGGATTGATACACAGGATGGAGGAGTTCACCCAAACTTCACGGGTTGGGTTTGCTCTTGTCATTCATCGGTGAATGTTCACCTAAAAGGTGCAGGCAAAAAAGGGTGAAGCACTATTCTCTAAGTTCCAAGCGCGGGATAGTAATCTTGCCAGCGCAAGGCCTCAAATAAAAAGGCGTCTAAAGATGCTTTGAATTGGATATTAGTTGCAGCGTTAACAACCGTCGGAGGAAGGTTATTACGTACACTAACTACCCGAGATGAGAAAACCTGTTGCTTACTTGAGGTTTCTGCCCTGGACTTCAAAATCCTCATACAGCGCCCCCGCCGTGTGTTATTTAGGTCAGCCTGTTGACCTAACCTTGTTCAAACAGAGTGGTAGTAAGTATTAAGTCTTCTCGGAGGCGATAATACCAATGGCAAATGGGTGGCACTGCGAAATGCGTTTCATAATCAACGAATTTAAGGCCCCCAATCGTTTCCGTTGCAGCTCGTTGGAACACTTTTCAATGTTCTCGTCTTTGTTGCGTCCTGAGTAGACAACTTGGTTGGCGTATTCAATAACCCGTCTGACATAGACCCCACAGAATGTTTGCGAGTAATACGCGGGAAGATTTGCCGAATCAGCTGGAGAACGGCGAATGCCCTTTCAGGTGACATTTCCTAGTGCGGTGCACGAGAAAGACTTCCGCCTTTTGTCCTTCGGATGAGATATGGACGCACTTTTCGTCACTCAAGGGGGGTGCCAGTCCAACGACCACTGATTTACAGCGTCTACATCCATTTGGAGGGCACTGACATATGCACCTCAGGACTTCGATTCGTCCGCAAATAGCCGGCATGGACTTGACAGAACGGCTGGAAGACCGTTGACATACGTCAGAAACAAAAGTAGCCACAAAACGAGAGTTGAAG